GATGCCTAAGTTTGTGGGAGTTATCAGTGTTTACTTGGTCACTTTCAATGAGAAATATATTTCTAAATTTTGTTTGAAGAGCTTCATAGAATTTTGAGCAAGGGGCATTTTCACTGTTGGATTTGGGAAGTAGGTGTGCCATCATATATTTGATCGAGGATGTCCAGGATATTTTTTGTGAGGCCAAGAGAATATCCTCCTGGTATGCATCGAATAAGAGCCTGTCACCTTCCAAGCCTCTCAGGCGCTGGTAATATCTAAACATAGACATATATATTTGTAAAGTAAGAGGGTACATTCCTAATTCACTGAGGCATCCAATATTACTCGACTTTTTTGGTACTCCTAGAATCTGTTTTGCTATTTTGATAGTGATCTCATTACATAGTTGTTTTGACCAGTTATGATACATTTCATGTGAGGGTCTTAGAAGGCTGCAGCCCCATACCTCGGCTCCATATGACGCAATGGGTACAATTAAGACATTATACAAGCGAATGAGAATGTCTGCTGGGAGATGAGAAGTTGATTTCAGTGAACTTTTGATCTTATACCATGCTCGCATGGCCTTTCCTCTCAGTGTATTGACAGCGGCCTTGAAAGATCCAGTCCTCATTAGTACTACTCCAAGATAGGAGTAGGAGTCCACTACATCAACGATTTGATGGCCCAATTTAAATTGAAGTTTATGTTCTTTTGAGGAGCCCCCAAATACAATTATTTTAGTTTTGGATAAGTTAACTTTAAGTTTCCAATGTTCAGTGAAGGTCTGTAGGCTGTTAAGACTGTTTTGCAGACCACAAGCAGAGCATGAAAATAGTACAAGGTCATCAGCAAATAGTAAGTGGGTTAGGGTCTTATCATTTAGTAGGGGGGCATTGTTAGAATTGTCTGACATGAGGTAGTCCTGGAGGTCATTTACGTAGATACTGAAGAGGGTAGGGCTGCAGACACATCCTTGCTTGACACCAATATTAGAACAAATTGGGGTACTGGAGCCTTCTTGAGTTTTCACAGCATAATAGAGTGTAGAGTATATATTATCAAGTAGATTATAGATTTTCCCATTTATGTTGTTATTTAGTAGCTTGTGTCTTAGACCATTTCTCCACACAGTGTCAAAAGCTTTACTAAAATCAACAAAGCAAGCATACAATTTCTTCTTAGACTTCTTATATTTCTGAATCAGAGTCCGCAGTATGAAGATGTTATCAGATGTTCTAAAATCTTTTCTAAAGCCAGCCTGTCTCTTATCAAACAACTTGGATGATTCCATGTGTGATATGATTCGCGAGTTGATAATAGCGAGCACAAATTTAGATAGGCAGCTTCCGAGGGCAATCCCTCTGTAGTTATTAACATCGTCAACATCCCCCTTCTTGTATATTGGAACATGAGAATAAATAAATCTTGTGTACATTGACAATCGAAAGGGGTGCTAATTGGGATTGTTCACTAGCCAATATATCAGCAAATATCTCTGTGGGCGCTTATTAGAGCGGGGCGCTTATTACGTCGAATATAGTATGTATTTATGGTTCCATGACACACAAAAAAAATTTGCATAAGTTTTCAAGTACATCAAGCACATCTAAATATATATGCCATAACTGGTTATCACAGTCAAAAGCTTTATGTTGTGTTTGTGCAATATTTCAGCTATATGACAGCGGCCCTTAAATAATCACGTCTGGACCAGACAATCCAGTGATAATCATGAGCATCGATCCACGCAATTGGGATACGATGACATGCATCAACCAAGTCAGCTAGTCTGACCACCCGATCCCGTTAGTCGCTTCTTACAACAAGCATAGTCGCCTGTTAAGGCAAGCATGGGTTGCTGAAGACCTATTCTTATGACCCCGGATCTTCACAGGTCCGTCGCTTTATGGCTGAGATATTGTGTTGTAATGTTACAGGTTGACTCACTCACTTACTCTGTTGTAACGGTATCAGTGACCTCATTCAGTGACCTCATGACCAGTGGGTGACATCATATTTAAATAGTGTGTCACTTTGATGTCATACTGCTTCAAATGACCAATCAGAATTGATGTGATGAACATGTGCAGATATAGAATAGTTATTCCACTTGATTTGGCAAGGCTTGTGGGAAATGTCATTTTTGTAACTCACATCCATTAATCTATAAACATATTTCAAATATTATATTATTTGTTCAGTATATATGTACACTTCCTTAGGTCCAGTTCTTATTTTGTGATAATAATTTGAGCTGTCAAATGTTTGATAGAATGTGTGCTCTGTGGACCAAATTTGTATACATGGTGTATATTTGCCATTTTAGATCTGCCTTAGTCAATTTCTATTTTACGTAATAGAGAAAAAAGGGTTTTAATAGTTTTAAGAAGTCAAAATGGATAAGACTTATGCACTTTCAAGTTTTTGAAAATCTGAATTACCCCCGGTGGGGAAATGGAATCATTTTGTGAAAATCATCATCATCATCATCATCATCATCATCATCATCATCAGTAATAACCTACTCACTGACATGGCTAATAGAAATCACTGGTCCACTATGCCCGACATTGAATTGCCACAGTAGAGGCAAGAGGCAATATTGTGAAATTGTTAGCTAGTTACTGACACATCTGTACCACACACTTTATCATACACTATGTCATATGTATGGATTGATTAGTTAGGTTTAAGTGATAATTATTGATTTTGTCAAGTGTTTTTAGATTTGGTGCTGTCACTTGAGTCGGCTGTTACTCTATTTGTCCGCCACTTCATTTTAGCGATATGTTGTTGATATCAGTTCGGTTGACCATGATTGACACAGTTACATTCGCTTTGTATCATCCAAAACTGGCTCCCACAGGAGATATCACTTTGGTGAGATCAAGCATATCTGCATTGTAGATATTTCTGCAATGAAATTGCATCACAATGTTTTGCAGACCATTGTCATGTCATTGGTTACCCTGACTTCACAATCAAATGACATCACTTAAATTGCTCTGCTACTGAAGCTGTTAGCAGTACTTCTTACACTTAAGACACTGCTTTTTACTGTCTACCAACTGAAAAAGTTGGAAGAATGATGTTGGATGATAAATATAATCTCACCCTTGTGTCTTTTGACATCAAATATATCAACACTCATTCGAACCCACAATCATAGGTTTCTGGCGTGCCCAAGGGACGCAACTCTGCACAGCGAATTGCGGCTCCATAGATGACTGGGTCAGCCGTGCCCCAACAGTGATATGAAGAAGTAGAGGGATTGTTTATATAACCTTAATCATTGTTTGTTTGTTTGTTTGTTTGTTTGTTTGTCTTTAAGACTTTTATCAAGATGTTGGATGGGATTCCAGTGTAAGATTGAACAAAATCAGCCATTGACATTCTGAATTTTAAGGTATATATCTTGCCAGGATATAAAATTTCAGCTCTATGTAACACGCAATGTATTGTTTTATTAATTCAAACAGCTGTACTTTCTTGCCTACTCAGGGCTGAACGCTAAAAAACATTGAGTCTGGAGTTTTAGGGGTTGGTCAGTTCTGGGAAACAAGATATTTTGTTTTTTGGCCTGAGCCACGGCTGACCTGACATAGGATGTTCATTCCTGCAAGCACCTGCCGGTCAGACTGACCCAGCTAGCCAACAGCTGCACTTGATCAAGCAGGTGTGCATGTTTACATAACTACATAGAGTCAGGGTGACTCTTGTTTAAGCTGCTTTATAAGTCTGTGTTGAACTTCGTTGTTACAATATGGCAGACCATGGTTAGCCTAGTGGCTACATGTTATGTTATCTACCTCAAACCATTACTTTTTTATTTGTTGGATAACAGATTGTTTTTTTTCAAAGTCAGAAGTTGGCATCTTCCCGAGGCAAGGGAGTTAACTGACTGTAATAGTTCTGTTTCCACCCTTGCCGAACTGGGCTTGAATTTCTGGGCTCGATCGTAGTGCCGCCATTGGCTATTACGAGTTATGTCCCTTCTATGTCCCTCCAATCAGATTCCACCTCTCATATCACTTCCATTTGCTTCAAACAAAATGCCCGCGCCCCGTCAAGATGATCTGATCAATAATCAAGATCTATATTGTAATAAAATGAGTCTTACTTCGCGAAGTGCATCACGGGAGCATCTTGATTAAAAATATGAAAAGATTTGATAAAAATATGTTGATGCTAAATTTTTGCGTATCCTGCAATCAACCGAAATCTGCACTGTAGTTTATGAACCAGATGTCTATTTCATTAGACGGTTTTGATTAGACTATTTTTTATTAGACTCATTAGTCCAGCCGAAATATTACTCCATAATTCCATCCTAGTTCGGCAAGGGCGGAAACTGGACTTTTTTTGTCAGGTAACTCTCTTGCCTCGGGAAGATGGAAGTCGGAGGAAAGAATAATATGTAAGTTTAAACAAAGCTGCCATCGGCTTTTTGTTCTAAGCTGGATTACAGAATGTTTTTACAAGTGATATCTGTTAAGAGCGAAAATATAGAAATTTAAAAATTGAATTTGCCATCTTTATCGTAGTCTGCTGGAATTTTGTTTTGGTCATTTTGTTTTCTTGGAAGAGTTCATTTTGGCAAAGCCTGCACATCAAGGATAAAGGACAAAACTTTTGGTAGAAATGCATGTAATTTTGCCGTGACGGTAGACTGAACGATTCAGTGAGTCATTAGTGTCAAATCGATTATGATGAGCATCATAAGTTTTAGCATTTTTTGAAAACACTGAGTAATCTCAAACTAGTGTTGCGTGTATGACATGGCAGAGAAAAAATAAGTATAAATTTGGATTTTATATTTTGTTCAACTTTGAAGAAAAAAGGGTCGGCAGCGTATCCCCTTGTTCCAACAAATATAAACTAGTGGCCTCACTGTATACCATGGTATACATGCAACTTTGTTATTATTTGCTATTTATGCTTATCGCTATTTCATATGTTTAATTTTTGAACATTTTGCTCTTTTTCTGTTACATTGCTTTGTTCAACTTTTCTAGGCTCTGAAATTCCGCCAGCGCCCGATGAAGGTAAATACTGCACGTTTTTGTTTGCTTGCTTTTGCTTGCTCTTGATACAATAACCATGTTATAGTCTTGTCAGTTCGCCCCTCATATTGATGGTTGTCGTGGTTACAAGATTTCTGATTCTGACATTACCTTGTAACGTTGTTAGTGAAACCGAAATTGTCTGACAGTGATGTGTAATTAACATTGAATTAAACTAATTACGTCATTAGGAGCTGCATACTTAGCAGCATCCAACAGTGAGACCCCTTCATCCGAAGATGGTTCAGATGCGTTTCCAGGAATTTGATTAGATTTTGGAGAGGTGTGATTCTGGCTGTTTGGACCATTATCTCAGTTGGGATCGTGAAACTGAATATTTGGAATTCAGGAAATGGATGTAATTTTGGAGAAATAGGGAAATGATCTCGTTGTCCTTCGGGTGCTGTGTGAATTGGTACAGGACTGTGTGTAAAACAGGCCCTCTCCTGAGGGAGAGATTATATCAAATTTCAGATCGCAACCTGTAGTATGTGTAATTTTAAGTCTTGATTGATGATGTTGTTTTTCTTTCCCCTAGCTGTTTGTGACTGTGTGAAGAGCCTGTCATTTGACAAAAAAAGTATGTGTGTTTCTGGTCTCAGAAGCGACTGTAATCTGAAACCCTTGATCCTAAACATTTTTTTCTCGCGATAATGTGGTGTGGCACTTTGGATTTGGTCACCATCAGGTATTGGTTCAAAACGGCATTTTCCGTTTCTTATGCCACCAGCATACATGTGTTTTGTTTCAAGTGTAGACTGAGATATTGTCCCAGAAATAAAGGTATCTTATTTAAAAATATATATCTACAAAATAAAAATAATAAAATCCAGATGGAGCCTAGAACTATCCTTAATTTCAGAGCTGAGGCAATCTAGACTTGCCAAATCATTCTAGACTTGAGTTAGACTCCTTTTAATATTTTTCTCTAGGGTCTGGGAGACTTCACACTTTCATTACATTTGGAAGGCGGTGTGAGGCTTTTATCATTTTTACTGTAAATTACCGTTTCTAAAAGTCATTTATTTTTGTAAGAAAACAAAACTTATTTTTTAGGGTTGAAATATAAAACACACATATTTGGGTTTGCTGAAATGGGCAACCCTTGGCATTTTTAACATTTATTGACTGGTGTTGATATGTGATACCTAAAGACAAGAGGGGCACATTCTCTATAAACACAGTCACTGTAATCCAGGTACCTTGTGACCCCCTCCGTGGTCGGGTGGTATAGTGCCTGCTTGGAGAGTGGAAGGTTACGGGCCGCATCATTCCAAAAGATGGTACTTGTTGTTACCCTGCCTGGCGCTCGGCATTAAGGGACTAAAACAAGGACAGGTCGGCTCAGAGTCAGTTTACTGTCTGCGTGGCGTATCCATGTTAAACTGACTTTGTGAGCTGATGATTAGTTGCCTCACTCGGAGAGTCTGGGTTTGAATCCCGGTAGGTACTTTCCTAAGAATTGTTATCCTGTATAACATTTGTTACATTGGACCGCTTTCTAAAAGGCATTGTTTATTCATAATATTTACAAGCTGATGATAATATTGCTACCTGCTGTGCTAACAAACATTCACTCAATAAATATCACTTGACCATGTTAACATGCGTAGTTTAACGATATATTCAGCATCACGAGAGAAAAATATGTAGATTGACAATATTTTAAAAATAGGAAAAACAACTTTTTAAGATTCAGATCTTCATTGCAAAATAGCATCAAAGCATTTGTCTCCAAAATTGAGCACAGTGGTACTATCAATATTATCTGTTTGATGCTTATCAAAATATTTCGATAAGCGTTATTCATGTTTATTCCCAGAAATACAAGCATATGTGGGAAATCCCTTATAAATAAGAAGTAGAGTGCCCGTCATGCTCTGCAACTAATTGTCCTCATAACATTCAAGTGAGACTCATCTCGGATGCCAAATATGAATATTATTGATTTATTTACATCAGTCGACTAAGGTCGTGGTAGCCATTTTTCCGCCTCTGCAGTTATTGATTGAAGCAGTGGAGCTGGGACAATATTAAAGTCTGCTTCACAAAACTCGGCGTCCATCACACCAGTGTAGTTTGTTTGTTTGTTTGTTGTTTTAATCATGCACTCAGCAATACTCCAGCGGTCTGTAAATAATCAGGTCTGGATCAGACAATCCAGTGATTTTACATCATGAGCTGCAATCTACGCACTTGGGATACGATGACATGCATCAACCAAGTCAGCGAGCCTGACCACTCGATCCCGTTAGTCGCCTCTTACGACAAGCATAGTCGCCTTTTATGGCAAGCATGGGTTGCTGAAGACCTATTCTACCCCGGATCTTCACAGGTCTATATCAGCATGTATATTAACTCATATGCTTACTCAGATCCTTGTACTTGCCTTTACATGTCATCGATCCATTGCATGGATCGATGCTCATGATATTAATCACCGGATTGTCTGGTCCAGACACGATTATATACAGACCGCCGTCATATAGTTGGAATATTGCTGAGTGGGACGTAAAACAACAAACCAACCAACCAACTTGCCTTTACAACAAGCATGGCTTTCTGAAGACCAATTATAACCCAGATCTTCAAGGGGAATGTACCAGAGTTGACAATCAAGGATATGGTTAGTCCATGACGCATTATTTGTCAGATTTTCATCCAAATTTTTTCAATATATGGGCAGGGAGGCATTTTTGGTATCATTTTTTTTTCAAACAAATTGTTCAAGGCATCTGTGTTCTAGGGTTGGGACGGGTAACTCGGGTACTCAGGTTGGGTGTGGTCGGGCCGGGTCAGCCGGTCGGGTCAGGTGGGTACTGAGAAGAACCCGGGTACCCACAGGACTACCCAGACCTGTGATTAGTCAGGTTACAGATTGTTTAATGACAAAAACTATCTATGACTCTATGGTTACGCTACAAGTCACTAATGTTTGCATTTCCGTCTGACTATGCACCCATTCCTTCTGAGTTCAGTCAAATTCGACCCGTGAAGATCCGGGGTAGAATAGGTCTTCAGCAACCCATGCTTGCCGTAAAAGGTGACTATGCTCGTCGTAAGAGGCGACTAACGGGATCCGGTGGTCAGACTCACTGACTTGGTTGATGCATGTCATCGATGACAGTTGCGTGGATCGATGCTCATGATATTAATCACTGAATTGTCTGGTCCAGACTTGATTATTTACAGACCCCCATCATATAGCTGAAATATTTTTGAGTGCGGCGTTAAACAACAAACAATTGTCATCATTCTTGTGACAAGATGACATGAGCTGGTGAGTTAGGTAGTGAGTACTGTACTCATGATATCAATCACTGGATTTCCTGGCCCTTTTACAGTGGGACGAATGCTGAGTGCTTCTTTAAACAAGAAACACAATTCAATCATACCATTTGAAAATGAATATGAAAGAAAATTTTTAAATAATCTTTCCTTTTACATAGATTAAATGCATTCAGTTCTTGATTCAGGACGTCCATTTTATTTGAAATATTTGTTTTCCGTCAACTCAAAGATATAATTATTTTATTACATATGGAGTGGTAAGCAATACTAAGCAGCCATTCTTTCTCATGTGTCAGTAAGTATTGACAAACTTCAGTTGAAGATGGTTGGATGGCCATGATAGTTTCATCTGATTTAAAAACTCACTATAAACATATATAGCACTCTCCATTGTTAACAAATGAGCATAATAAATAGAAATTTAGTTTGATGAAAAGAGTTCATTTGTTACAAAAGAAATTCAAAACTTGCAAATTATTTGATATTAATATATTTTGAGTTCACATTAGCAAAAGGATGTTTGAAAATGAATTATTTCTTTTGTTACAAAAGAAATTCAAAACTTTTGAATTCACATTAGCCGAAGGATATGGGAAAATGTATTATCTCATCAGAGCAAAGTATCGGTGATGTTGGAGAGATGCAATCACGTTAATCTTATTATTCCGAACAGGCCATTTGATTTGCTGGAGGCAACAATGCTGTTTGCTCAGTTGTCATGGGCAATATGTGATATATCGCCTGGTGAATAGGCTGCTTCGCCACACTAACCCACACTGCCTTCTCCCTATTGGAAAGCTTCTATATTAATAAGCAGGGAGTTGGATGATAATTGACAGTCATTCACTCGATACACTGATAATTAGGAAATTATTTATTAATGAGTGGTTTTTCATGTTTATCCACGGCTATTTTGCGACCTTTTTCCTGATAAGTTGTGTTTTGTTAAAAGGATGTTAGTGGGCGGGAATGGTGTATAGTTAGCATGATTAGTCTTGTATTTTGTTTTTTGTTTATTTTTAGTTTTGTTTTGTATGCCTATTACCGTATTCGATGTAATAAGCGTCCCGCCCTAATAAGCTCCCACAGCGATATTTGCTAATATATTGGCTAGTGTACAATCCCAATTACCACCCCTTCTGATTGATCAATGTACACAAAACTTATTTCTTCGTGTATAATACGCACTCGTGTGTTATTTGCACCCTCAAATATGGGCAATTAAATTCTGGAAAATATATCTGTCGTGTATAATATTCACCAACTTTTCTTTTGTATCATTTCAGGCCGTCAGCATAAACCATAAAATTTACAATCTTTCAACTGTTTTTTTTCTCACCAAAGTTATATTCTAATAAGAGACCCCTATTTCTAATTTTGAGAGCGCCCTGGGCACTTATTAAGTCGAATACGGTATGCCAAATATGACAGTGGCAGGTCCAGGGAATGGTGTTAGGTTTGGAGTTCATATCCTCCATTTTAAAATTAACATTTGGAATCCAAAGTCATAAGCCCTCCAAATACCTTCTTATCTGGGTGTCTAACTATAGTTAAGGTGATACACATGATATATATTATGTATCACACGTTGGTACAGGAACACCCTGGTAACTCTTGTAGAGGCTGGTTATAATGGTGATACAGATGATATATATTTTGTATCACATCTCGGTACAGGAACACCCTGGTAA